AAACACGGGCCCCCATGACGTTGTGTTTTTCTGTTACCCTAAACCTACATCTTAAACCCTATACCCTATATGAAATTTAAAGCCTTTTAAATCCTAAACTCAACCTTAACCCAGACCCTTCATAAATGGATCTCGAGGCCCAACCCTGGCTTTTCCGCAGCCGCGGCCCCCAGCAATTCGAGGGCCCACCGTCGCTCGAGGGCTTCGCCTGGCAGTTCGTATGATTAGGGTTTACCTGTAACTCTCTTTACCTACAGTTTAGCAGCCCTTACCCCTTAATTAATTAGTAGGTAGAACCCATAAACCTGCAGGTAGTTAGAGCCCCAGGTAGACTCTCCCAACTCCCGAAGTCACGACGTAGCCACCAACCATAAAATCTTAGCCAAGTCAGGAGCGGGAATGTGAGGCTAGCCACGTCACCCCGAAAACATTCCACAAGCATGACACTGAAGAGCATGTGGGAAAAAACCATTCGAGAGGGAAAAACCCACAGCCCGGAGACGTACCATACTACAAGGACAAAGCCTAGACAGTTCGCAGCCTGGGGCGCTGCACAGTGAAGCATTTGGCACGTCGCGACTGCAGCATGTGTCTCCAGACACTGAGTAATGCCGTTGCGGGCAGTCGCACGCAACGCCGCTACCGGAGTCTGTTCGGTCTTCGAGGCTCGTGGAGCCGCTGGCCTTCTTGAGGAGTGACTTGCAGGCTTCACCCCATGCCGCGTCCAGCGCTGTTCTGCCATTGTTGTTTTCCAGCCCATTCTTGGCACGGGTCTCCAGAAGCAGCTCCACGCGGTCGGTTTTGCCGTTGTGTGCGGCCCAGCCGCTTGAGGCGGGCGCTCCTGCTTTCCCTGAGGAGCGTGAGGTTTCCAATCCGAAGGCCTGCTATGCACCTCCACGAGTCGTCAAGTTTACAATCATGAGCGTGTTCTGGGGCCAAGAGTGGACTTGCTTAAGGATTGTCTGTTTGCCGGCTCCGTGTTTCAGCTCGCAGACAGTCCTTAAGCAAGTCCATCCTTGGCCCCAGAACCGGAAACACGCTCAACGCATCAAGCGTCAAATCAGTTTGACAGACCCTGCAATCTCGAAAGTCATGTCATGACTGTCGAGATGGCAGGGTCTGTCAAACTGATCTGGCGCTTCATGATCGCCGCCTGCACCATGCAGAAAAAGTACCCCAGCACATCCGTGGAAAGGCAAGAGGTCAGAACCAGCAAACAGATGATGTTGCAGACATAGTAAACTGCAAATACCGCGTTGTTGACTGGGCCCAGCTGCATCTCGAACTCTTCCTCCTCCTCCTCCTCCTCCTGGGCTGATTTGCCGCCGCCCGCTTCTACGGTTAAGAGTCCGTGGGATCTTCCACAGGGTCCGAAGAAGAAAACACCCGTCTGATAAGTTAACAGACGGGTGTCATCTTCTTTGGACCCTGTGGAAGATCCCACGGATGCCGTGCCTGGCCCTTTGGAGGATCTCTCGGATGCCGTGGGTGCCAAGTACACCAGCCCGACGGGTACGGTTGCCGCCACGACGGGCAGGCCCAGGATGAGCGCATCCATTCGACCTTTCAGCACCGAAACGGCCGGCTCAGCAGCCACCAGGACTCCCAGGATCCGGAGGAGAGCCATCGTGATTTGTGGGGCAGCTTCCAATCTGCTCCTAGAGCTTTGCGAGGAAAAAGCTGCTGGAATTCGGCTTTAGGGTTTAGGGTTAAGTGGGAGGGAAAAAGGGTTTAGGGTGTAGGGCTTAGGGGGAGAATAATCATCATCATCATCATCATCATCACAATTATACTGCTGTGTGCCATGGACCGCTCCATGAAAAGGCGAAAGAAGGACATGCCCCCACTTTCACTTGCATATCTTCGGTGCGTGAGGTGCGTGGTGGGAACCATGGCCCCGGTGCGCAGCTGGTGTATTGTAAGGGCGTGGCCATTGCTGTCACTGGCGCCGTAGCTGTGTCTGTTTGTGTCGGTGCTGGCAATGATGTTGCCGTTCTTGCTTGTGTTGTCAGTACAGGTTGTGATATGTTGGTGCTGGTGGGCTGGTGGTTGTTGTTAGTGTTGTTGCTGCTGCTCCTGCTGCTCCTCAGTGACACGGCGTCGTCGTCGTCGTGGCGGGGGCAGTAGTGGTAGCAGTAGCAGCAGTAGCAGTAGCAGGAGCAGGAGCAGGAGAGGAGCAGGAGCAGGAGCAGTAGCCGTCGTCGTCGTCGTCGTAGTAGCAGTAGTAGTCGTAGTAGCAGCAGCAGCAGAAATAATAGTGTAGGAGCATCAGCAGCATGAGGAGGCAAAGCAGTGGCAGTCGCGGCATCGAAAGGAGTCTGAAAGGAGCACCAGGCGAGTACCAGCAGCAGGCCACAACCACCAGCAGCTGCAGAACTAGTCGGTTCAAATTCCACAAAGAAACCCAGAAGGAAGACCGCTTCTGAATGGTGAAGGGGGGGCAATCCTGTGGGTTCAGGGCAGCGCCAAAGTCCAAGAACAAGTCGAACTTTAAAACTACCCCTGCCGCCACGCCTTCTTGAAGTGCAAACACGACGTCATTCAAGTCAGGCTGCTCTTCCTGTCCAGGCGGGAGTGAAAAGCAATTTGCAAATTACAGAAAATCGCCAGTGGGGAATGACATGACATCAGGGGTCAACATTAGCCCCAGCAAGTGGGCCAGGTGGCCCTTTAAAGCCTCTGACAAACAGCACATTAACAATCACAAAGGTACCTACATAACCATCAAGACAGCATCGGCAACCATCCAGAATCCCAATGCAGCACGCCGAACCCCTTTCGCCGCACTTTCGGTTATCCTGGCCATGAGGACAGCAAGCAGAAGGAGAAGCAGAACGCCAACCAATCATTGTTAAGTGCTGATGCCCCAAACTTCGGAAGAAACCAGCCAGGTCCTGCTTGTTCCTTAGCTGGCCGCGGGTCAATCACACACGGCACTCACTGCAGGATTGGCTGCTCCTTGGACCCTTTGACCTCCCACACCTACAGTGTATGCATATACATATAAAATAAGATATATACATATATACACACACTCACAATCGTGTGTACATGCGCGGCTGCGGCTGCGTGTTGGTTATTACCTATAGTTCTACCTATCTTCCCTTCAATTCTATCTACCTACATACCTATTTATCTATCGATCTATCCATCCATGTATCTACTATCTATTTATCTACCTACCTACCTTTATATGCGTGACTCTTTCCAGACCTATGTTAACGAATACTTCTGAGTGAGTGAGTGAGTGAGTGA